CCTTTGCCTTCCCCCATCCCGCTATCCGGACCTGCCCACCCAAGGGTCCGATATTCCTTCTGACACAGCGCTCCGTTTCCTCGGTGCAGAAAGCGCCGGAGATCAACCTGTCGCTCTTTGGGGCGATGCTCAGTTTAAAATCTTTCCCGCCCTCACGTGCTGCCGCTGGGTATTTTGGTGTATGGAGAGGGCTCTGGGAGTGGATGTCGCCCCAAAGCTGGTGCTGAGCCAGGCAGTTGGGGTTTAGCTTTTAGTTTAGTCCCTCTGCATGGGACAAGCAGGGAGCGCGGGTGGCAGAGGGCCGGTGGGGCACACTGGCCCTGGTGCCCTGGGGCACGTCCCCAAGTAGCCACCGGCCTTTGGGACAGCCAGTGTCCAGCTCAGCCTGTGACACCCCCCTCATACGGACACACGCAGCCGCCACACACCGTCATGCACGCACACAGACACGCACGCGTGCACGCTCGTGCTCCCAGGCTGCGTGCCAGTGGGCATGAGCTCACGGTGCCATCACCGTGGTTCTGCCCAAGGACCCGATGACATTGTTCCACCATTTCCGCTTTCTGCTTTGTGCTGCATTTCCTGAAGCTGTGGAAAACGCCGCTTTTTCTGCCTGCAGCTGCTGGGGAGAGCCCTGAGCGGGGATGGGGGGGGACACACACAAGGCAAAGAGGAGACCCCGGCACCTGCTGCTCCATGCTGGCATCCCCCAGGGCTCCAGCGCTCCCTCAGCCAAGCTGGCACATGGCTGTGGTCTGCTTTGCCTGGGGACTCCTAAAACTCTGCTGAGATGCTTGTGCCCCAGGAGGCGGGGGCCCCCCCCCCCCAGCCGTGCCCCCAGCCGCTTGCCGCATCGGCAGCAGAACCGCAGAGCTGCACGGTCCTGCCTCTGCTGGAGGAGCTCCTCCTGCCCTGGCAGGCACTGGCACTGCCCTGGGGCCCCTGCAGGCATTTTGGGGCCCTTTAATCCCCCACACGGACCTGCTGGCCTCTGACCTTCACAACTGGTGCCAGCGTGCGTCTCCAAAAGTCCCCACTGCCACTTCCACGGATAGAGCCCAACCTTTGCCCAGGCCATCGGCACAAAACACCACCAGCACGTTTCTGGACTCATGCCCTTTCCCTCCCCTTCTTTCCCTTCCCTTCCCTTGAACCCGAGCCAAGACCAGCCGTCGGGTTTAGTGCCTGCACAACAAGGCACTGACCACCCTGGGTGGGGGCGGTGGGAAGAGGCAGCAGTTCCCCAGCCGCTGGCAGGGCTGTGGGTA